CTCCAGCCCCCCTGCCTGAGCAGTAAAAGGGTTGTACTTTTCCAGAGGACAATGTCCACAGCTCCCAGTCCTTCCACGGTTATTTTAATTAACTAATCTGTTCAAAACACCCAGAGCCCGTTGGACCATCTGGATGGATTCAAGTCACATATTTGTTTTCCTGATGTGCTGATTAAATCCTTCCCTTTGCTCCAAGCCTCAGTGCAGCCAAATGTGCCCCTGCAAAGCTGCTTCACACAAGCAGCTCAGGGGGTTGGATTTGTGAAGAAAAGGTTGTTTTTAGCTTTGGGAGAGGTGTGCTGGGAACCTTGGTGCTGGCACAGCCATGAATCCCACAGTAATTTGGGTTGGGAGGGACCTTAAAGCTCATCCAGTGCTACCCCCTGCCAGGGGCAGGGACACTTTCCACCATCTCTGGTTCCTCCAAGCCCTGTCCAACCTGGTCTTGGACACTTCCAGAGATGGGGCAGCTCAAGGATTGCTCTGGCACCAGGCAGGAGCAAGCAGGAGGTGAGCAGAGGATCCAGGGCTGGAATCTTTACAAAGCTCTTACCATCATCATCCTTTCCTGGGGGAGGCATCCCTGTGTCTGAGAAGCAAGAATCCTGGGACTGAGGTTATGGGTATTCCCTGCCATGGAAATTCCCTAATTACTAACAAGGTTTGGGAAAATAAAAGGTCAGGACAGCTCTCTGGCTGGGTCAGGAAGATTTAAACTGCTAAAAATTGGATTTACCAGAGATGCTGAAGCATCTGGGGATGCTGTTGGTACATCAAGCACTCGGGACTGGAATGGGGAAGGAATTTCAGCCTCTCCAGCCACATGGCCTTTAGCATCAAGAACAATCACCCACAGAGGAGATTTCCTCTCCTCCTGTGCCCTTCTTGGAAGGGAACTTTCCAACATCCATCTCAAAAAGGGTTATCTTATAGTGGAATTCATCTTACAATAAAACTGTCTGGGTTTTTACACGTACTGTTGACCTTTATTTGGTTTATGAACCCATAATTCCTGGGCTCCCAGTTTTATACGGGGTGGGATGGATCAGTGCAGCTTCCAGCAGAGACTCTCAGCTTGGGAGCTGTGTGAGGTTTAATGACTCTGTCCTAATTTAAATAAAATAATCCTGGCTTTTACGAGGGAGCTGAGGCACCTGGAGGACACCTTTAGCAAGAGCAGGCAAATGAACCAAGAGAACTCTCCTGCCTGGGTGTCTCTCCCCAGGGCAGAGCTCCTCCTTTACCCTCCTGGCACCCAGGATTTGGGGGGGTGGAACTCAGCCAGCTCCAGGCTTTTAAACATCTCAGAGGAAAAGTCATCCAGCACCAGAGTGTGCCCCAAACACTGCAGTCACTTCAGGCTGGTTGATGGACACCTGCACTTACCTAGTGGTGTTCAGAAAACATGTGAATGTGGCACTTGGAGGCGTGGGTTAGTGGTGGCCTCGGCATGATGGACTTGATGATCATAAACATTTTTTTCCAACCTTAACAATTCCACGATTCTGTGATTTTTTCCAGCCTCATTCTTTCCATCTGTCAGAGCCAAACCCAAGTCTCTCAGCAGGGGTGGCTGCTGGGATGAAGGACTTGGATCTCTGTGGGTTCCTCACTCACAGGATTCTTGTTCCCTGCAGGTAAACGGCCACCTGGACTACATGAAGCAGATGGACACGATCCTAAAAGCCGTGGGCATTAAAACCAAGGAATGCCAGCCAGAAGAGAAGGGCAGTGGCAGTCTTTTTTCCCCTCAAGCCAAGAAATCCCAGCGGGCAGCTGGCAGCGAGGCTGGGGGAGAGGAAAACACCAGGAAAGAGGAGGATGAAGCTGGGGGTGAGGCTCCAACAGAATTCCAACAGAATTCCTGCAGCTCTGCGCTGGGAGAACCCTCCCCTCCCTGCCCAGACTGCTCACACAGCACGGACAGCGAGGACCAGGCAGCGGGGAAAGGAGCAAATTAGGGCAGAGCTGCTCAGCCAGCACAAAAACCGCTGTCAGCACATCTGTGGCACTGGGATTCCCAGAGGATGGAGCTGGCGGAGCTGCAGCCGCAGTTTCCAGCCCCTCCGGAGAAAAGCGTGGCACTGGCGTGGCACCGGATCAAAGTGCGTGGAGCAGCCCCCACGGCAGCGCCCCGAGGGCTGGTTCCTGCCTGGGGCTGCACTGAGGGCTCATTCCTGCCTGCGGCTCCTCGGGAATCCGAGACAGATCCATCCAAATCCTTGCAGGGAGCAGCTGCACCCCTCGGCACCGTGTCCCTGCTGTGACTGGGGAAAGGAGGTGACTCTGAGGGGATTTGAAGCATTTCACAGAGAGGGGTTCGCTACTAGGAAATTAAAAACATTTTTCCACTGGAGATGAGTTTGGTTTGAGGATCTCAGGTGTGTTCCAGGCTCTACCTGCCCCACTTTGGATGGATCCACATCTGCTCCCTGGCTCTGCTGACCAGGAGGGGAAAGGCTCGGGCTGCCAGGTTTCCTTCCCCTCCCTGCTGCAGGTTTGCTGCCAGGGCTCGGGCACTTTCCCATATCCAAGACTGTTTCCCTGTCTCCAGATTGGGGTTGGTGGGTGCTGGAGGCCCTATTCCTGTTAGAAACATGTTTGGGACCCTGGGTGAAAGCAGCAGGAAAACCAAGAGGCTTTTGGATGGTTTATGAAAATTCCTCCCAGGGTCTCCAAGCCAACAACCCACTAAGACTTTGCTTTTGTGTCCCAGACATATTTTTTAATTGGCTTAGGACAAAACCAATACTTGGCACAGGATAAACATGGATATGTTTGATTTCTACCTCCTTCCATAAAGTGAATTGGCTCCACCCTCTTCATCCCCAGTCTCAGAGCAGAGGGAAGGACCCGGCTCTACATCCCCTGCCAGCACAGCTCCAGAACCTTGTGGGAAGGATCCATATTTTCCATAAAAGCCCCTTTTCTGGCCTGTTTTGCTGCTGAGCCCAGGCAAGTGCATGTGGCAGGAGTGTGGCAGGTGGGCAATTCCCCTCTGGAGCACCTCTGGGGTTTTATGCTTTGCTGCAAGGGAGGGTTCAAACTCTCCCATCCCCATCTGAGGGGTCCTGTTGACTCATGAGAGGGGAAATAATTGGGATTCCACCTTCCAATTTTGGTTCACACAGTGTTCTCCCGCTCCTCCTCCCTACTGACCCAGCAGCCACATCAATCCCCCCTCTCCTTCCACTCCCAGCTTCCTGCAAACCTTACCTGCAGATCATTCCTCATGGAGTCACACACAGGCGGGTTTGGGGGTGATGCTGTGACCCAGCAAAGCACCACGGTTTGGATACAGTGCCTGGCAATTCCTCTCCCTAAATCCAGCATCCCAGGGGGCTCAGACCTGCCCAGCTGTGACCTGGAGTGGTGCCTCGCTGGAGGTGGGAGGGACTGGCTGTGGGATCCCACAGGGATGGGGCTGTTTTGCAGCTGGAGTTGGTGCTGTTGGCTGCAGGGGTGGGATGGGATTTCTCTGCTCATCAAACACATAATCACACAGAACTGCCTGCATGAGACAGTAAGGAATTATTGCTTTTGAACGTTTGGCTTGAAGAGGTGACTCTCCTTCTCTCTCTGTCCATCTCCCAAGGCTGATTTGGTACCTAACAAACTTCTAGACTCCACGGTGCCTTTTTCTGCTCCTTTTTAACTCGAGTTGTAGTCCAAGCTTGTATTTATATAAGACCATTGTGGGAAGATGTACATCTTGATCTGGGTGCTCAACACCAGCCCCAAGCTCCATCTGTGGCAAAATGCATTGAACAGTTTGAGGTTTGAGCCTATTCTCAGCCCTCAGTGTGTCGTGGTCACTCATCCTGTAGCAAAGAAATGCTGGGTTGGTCCTACAAACTCCTGTTCCGTTCTGGAACATCCATGGACTATGTGGACAACAAAACTGGAAGTGGCCTGGAGTGTGGCTGCTTCTTCCAACATCCCAGGGAATTCCATGTGTCTGTTTGGATATCAGGGAGTCCCAGGAGAACAGTCTTGGAATTAGGCAGAAGGCTTGGAGGGAAGGGTCCAGGGAGGGCACAGCAGCCCAAAGGCACTTGAGGAAGAATTTACTAAAATAATTTGTTTTATTGATTTTTTGAAGAGCCCACTTGTCACATTTACTCAGTGTTCCCTCTGCTTATGACTCTGGGGAGGGGGCTGGCTTTGTCATTTAAAATACAATATTCCTTTAGATTCTTATTTGAAGGGAGGGGGGAAAAGTGTAATTTTTAATTGCATCATCAAGGACATGATGGATTGGAGGGATGGTCCCAGGTGCCAGGAGTGGGAAGCTGTGGGATGGAGCCTGTGGGAGGAGCAGATCCCATTACTACCCACGGAGCCACCATGAGTTGCACGCCACACCCCCACTGAGCACCCCAAAATCAATGTTGGACGTTCTGCAGCAAATTCAGCCCCTGCAGTGCAGCTCTGCCTGACAAGACACAGCAGTGCTGCTGAGCTGGAGCGTGCTGTGTGACAGGAACCTGAGACAGACACTCCAGTGAGGAGATCCAGCTCCAGGGAGATGTGATGTTCCATGGGCTGGAGCACCCCAAACCTCAGTGTTCCTGCTGAAGCAGCCCCACTCCTCTTGTCCATGAGCCACAGGACGTTTTTCCACCACTCCCCTCGGTGTGCTGGGAGGAGATCTGCTGAGCTCTGTGTGCAAAACCAAGCCTTGGTTTGAGCTTAGGGAGACAGAGAGTCTGGGATCTGAGGTTCAGACTCACCGGAGATGGAAAGGCCACAGGAAGGGTTATGGGATGGTGACTGTGAGCACAGGAGGGATGAAAGAGAGACAAGGCAGGTTAGTTCAGCAGCAACACCTGGCTTTGCACGGTTTGATCCTCCTTATGAGAGTGCCTGGGGCCACCGTCCCCTCCATGAGCTGCTCCATGGGAGAATCTGGGACATGGCTTGTGGCAAATCAGCTCCCAGAGGGTTTGTGTTGAGCTCCTGGGGGATCCTTGCCAGCACAGCCAGCTGTGTGTGCCCTGCTCAGGCCACGGGGGTGCCGAGCTGCAGCTCCGAGTCCGGGGGCTCGGCGTCCCAAAGGCTGATGGAGCGAGCAGCAGGGCCGGGGGGGGCTGGGAGCAGCCTGGGCTCACTCGCTGGTGCCCCAGAGTCCACAGAGTCAGTCTCAGCCTGCAGGCTGAGCACGTTCTTGAGGGAGGTGGCAGCGCGGGGCCCGCTGTTGGAATTCCTCATGGACAGCGAGATGGCGCTGGGCCGGGGCTCGGCCGAGCGCCGGCAGCAGGGCAGGAATTTGCCCATGGCTCTCTTGAAGTCCCTCATGAAGAGTGGGTAGATGATGGGGTTCATGGTGCTGTTGCAGTAGCCCAGCCAGGTGAGCACATCGAAGAAACCGGCCGGGACACAGTCACAAACTGCCTGGAGGGGACAGAGCAGGGATTAGCAGGATTAGCAGCCTCCCACCTCAGCCCCAGCCCAGAGGAGTTTCCGGGCACACCAACATTCCCCTTTCAAAGGAAACCTTCAAATCTCTTCTGAAGGGCTTTTTCTTTGCTGTTGGCTCCCTGGGAAATTGCATCCTTGGTCCCAGAAGTCCAGCAAGACCTTCCAGTGCCTCCAATTGAACCCAGTTGGATTCCAAAGGGAAAACTTCTGGAAATGCAACATAAAGCCCCCACAGGCTCTTACCTGAGCCACATTGGTGACGAAGAAGGGCAGCCAGGCCACGAAGAACATGCCCAAGAGGATGCCCAGGGTCAGGCTGGCCTTCAGAGCCTTCTTGCTGTGCTTGTTGGTGAACCTCCTGCTCTCACTGCTGGCCAGGGGCTGGCTCGGGGCTCGTGGGACCTGTGGCCACAGAAAGGGAGTGGTGGGCAACTCTCCCTGGCATCAGCACTGGCCTCTGCCCAAGAAAAGTGGCATTTGGTGCTCCACATCCTGCAAAAACCCTGTCAGTAATTCCCTTTTCCGAGGGGCAGGAGCTGGTCACACACCACAAGCCCTGAAGCACAAATTAGGAAGGGGAAGCAATAGAAACCCTCAACACTGAGAGTATTATTTTATTTACTGTAAAATCGGGTGTTTGTGATTAGGCTGCTCTTTAGAGAAAAACCTAGCTCACTCTATGTGAGGATAAAGACTGCCCTAAATAGGCAGCTCCAGCTGCTGATTACAGCAGCAAACTAATTATGGTTTTAAAAGCAGGACATGAAACATTTCAGCCTCCAAACACCATAACCCAGCCCTCCATCCCCTCCTGCAATCTAAAACTAAGTGATTATCTCAGCCGTCCCCTGGAATTAAATGATGCCCTGTTGCAACTCAGTTTCTGGCCCAAAAAGAGAACAAAAATCTCTAAAATGAGATGAAGATGAAAAAGGTTAAAAGATTAAATTCGAGGGTTCCTTGGCTGAACTGGTGTTCCTCAGCCAATCTGGAGCTTCAAGGAACCTTTTGGGCCTCAGCTGAATGACAGGGGATAGATGCTGCTCTTCCATGGCACAGCAAAGCCCCTGAACATCCCCTGACTCTGTGGAGTCCAAAATCCTGGCATCCTGTGAGAAAACGAACACTTTATGATATTGTCTGTTTATTCTTTAATTCTTCTTTTCCTTTTGACTGTCTAGTGCAGCTTGTTACGTGTGGGAGCTGGCCAGAGTCCTGGCTCTGCTCTTGGAGGGAACAAACTAAATCAAGGTATTTAAAGGCAATTAAGTTTGCCTTTTCCCTGTAGGATATGAGGTCAGTAAAGCCTATTACAGGGAATTAAAGCTGTTAGATTTAGTGGCAATTACCTTCTGGAGAAATACAAACAAGTGCAGCCACGTTTTTGTTATAAAACCCACACACTCTGGTTCCACCGGCGAGCGCACGAGGAGGGGTTTGGCAGCTCCTGTTATAGAGCAGGTAACAAAAATAGAAGCTTCTGTTCAAAATAAGGTGCTCTCGGGAATGTGGCATTTGCTATTAGTTAAAATCCTTCTCCCCCGTATGTCTCACACCCACCACGGCCAAGATTTACGAGTGGAAAGTCAGATAAGATTAAACCCCTCGGAGATGACGCCAGCCAAGAGGGGGGCGAAACAGCCTTTATTTTGCACTGCTGAGCATTTTTGCCTGAATCTTATTTATTTCTCTGCTTCTGCTCACGCTATTTCTGTGCTCATAAGCAGCCTCAGAGCTCTCCATTGCTGGGACAAGGCATGGGGCACCTCAGAGGACGTCAGGGAGGTGGATGTTGCCCAAAATCTCCCTCCCTGCGGTTGCCAAAACTGGTTCCTACCCTGAGGCCATCCAGGAGGCAGAAACAGCGCAGGCACCCAAATTGTGGGGTCTGCCCGAGCAACATCCCTGTGGGCACCTTACCTGCGGCGTGGCCTCGTCGGTGGTGGCCACGTTGGAGGCCAAGGAAGCCACCTGCACGGCCTGCTTGCGCGCTGCCAGCAGGATGCGGCAGTAGGTGAAGGAGATGGCGGCGGAGGGCAGGAAGAAGGTGAGGCAGGAGGCCACCAGGGCGTAGGGCAGGCTCACCAGCAGCCGGCACTGGTCCTCGTCCCCACGGCCGGTGACGTTCAGGGGCCGCACCTCAAACTCCAGCTCGTGCCACCCCATCTTGATGGGCAGGAAGGAGGCCAGCGCGGCCAAGGTCCAGGTGGCCAGGATGAGCGCCAGGGCCCTGCAGGACGTCATGCGCAGCTTGTACCTGAGCGGGGACGTGATGAGCAGGTAGCGGTCCAGGCTGATGACGCACAGGTTGAGGATGGAGGCGCTGCAGCACATGACATCAAAGGAGGCCCAGAGGGAGCAGAAGTCCCCCCGCAGCACCCAGCGGCCGTAGAGCTGGTTGAGCATGGCCGGGGGCATCACCACCAGCCCCACCATCAGGTCCGACATGAAGAGGGACACCAGGAAATAGTTGGAGGTGTTGCGGAGGGAGCGCTGGGTGACGATGAGGAGGATGAGGAGGAAGTTGCCTGCTGTGGTCAGCAGGATGATGAAGCAGAGGAAGGCGGCCACCCAGCTGCTGCCCACGAGCAGGGAGTGCTCCCCCAGCACGCTGGCATTGGGGGCCCCCAGGTCCCCCTCCATGAGGAGCCAGGGCAGGGCTGGGGACCTTCTCTGGCGTGGCCTGTGCTACGTGATCATCACCGGGGCTGGGGAAGCGAGATCATCTCTCTCTGCTCTGTGTCCGTCCTCCCTCCTCCTCCTCTCCTCCTCCCTTCCCTCTCTTCCCCAACTCTGTCTCTTCACTGGCATTCAAGGCAGAGTGACATTCCCAGGAGCCGATCAGCAGGACAAAGGTTCCCTCCCCATTACTCACAGCAGTTCCTCGTGTCTGTAAATCCCCCTGCTCTGGAATGTCCCTGGATGCTGCTTCTGGCTGCTGGGGACGAGCTGGATGGCAGGGTTCTCAAGATGCCAGGGATGACAGGATGCTTTGGATACCCTGATGCTCTGGATGCACTGGACCAGGGAATAATACAACACCGAGGTGCTCTGGATGCTCTGCACTCAGGATACTTCAGATGCCGGGGATACTCTGCATCCCAGGATATTCCGGATGCCAGGGCTGCTCTGTACCCAGGATACCCTGGACGCTGCGGATGCTCTGGACTCCGGATTGCTCCAGATGCTGGGGATGCTGCTCCGGCCCCCCGAGGCTCAGCTGTCGCTCCCCAGCTGAACTGAGCTCCCTGCACAGCTCTGTCCCCGGGGTCCCAGCGCTCCTCCGTGCCCGGCGCTGCTGCTGCTGCAGCCGGAGCCGTCAGGAGCGGCAGAGCAGCTCACGCCAGGACAAGGATGCTGCTCCCAGCCAAGCTCGCCCGGGAGGAGGAAGATCCGGAGTGTGGAAGGGATTTCTCCCGCGGCAGAGGAGCGTCCAGCCCGCAGGGAAGTGTGAGAGTGGGTGTGTGCAGGTGCCAGCCTCACTTTCACCTGCTGCTGTGGATGCTCACAAAGGATGCAGAAATGCTGATCGAGGAGGTGGGGCTGGGGGGGAGAGGAGGAGATGAAATGAAGCGCTAATGAAAACGGAGATCTGGGCTAAACTCCACAAAGTGGCAGCCAGAGAGTTCCCGTTCCTGCCTTAAAGAGACAGCCCCGTGCTCTGCCATCCCTGCCATCTGTGTGCCAGCCCTGGAACCCTGGCTGGAGGCACCTGGCAGCTGGGCCAGCAGGTCAGTGGCCAAGCCCAGCCAGCAGCTCTGAGTTCCAGGCTCCATCCTCCACACTGGGTGATAAAAAGCAAAATTTTGCAAACAGCTGCACACAACAGCGCTCAGGAAGCAGCCTGAGCAGATACTCCAGCAATCTGCAGCCAGGATGGAGGAGCAGAGACAAGGGAGAGCCTGGCCCCTCTGCTCCTGGGGCAGCCTGAGGGGCAATCCTGGATGGAGTCGCAGCAACCTGCCCTTTGACAAGTGAGAGGCAACATGTGAGAGGAGCCAGCTCAGAAAACCCTTCTGAGTCTCTGTGTGCAGCTGGGAGTTCCATGCTGCCACCTCCATGCTCAGGGCAAACACCTCAGGGTGCTGGACAGGGGCTGCTTGGGGTTTTTTTAACAACCCAGCTACCCAAAGGTGGGGTTTTCCCAGCAAAGGGCTGTGATTTCCGTTGGAGGAGACCAGGACTGAGGGCAGTGGCTCCAGCACAGAGCAGAGCTGAGGGTGTGCCCCTGGCACCCACCCTGTGCTCCCAGCGCCAGGCACTGCCAGCTGCTGCCAATTCCTCCCCAAGTGCCCACTAAAGATTTCCCTAGCACGCCTCCCTGGGAAGCTGTGCTGCAGATGTGTGGGTCAGAGCCAGCTGTGCACCCCCAGCACTGCCCAGCCCCCCACCCCAGGACAGAAATCAGCCTCTTTACCAAGCCCTGCTTTTCCAATCATCTTTCCAACAAATTTGTTGTGCTTTTCCCAGTGCCTGAATGGGCATTCCGGGTCTGGAAACCATCTATGAGCAAGGAAGGCAGGGACCCAGCCCAGACACACACAGGATCTCTGTCAGGCTGCCACTGGAAACAGCTGCTGCCACTTGTGCCAGGACAGGCTCTGCCCTCCCCCTGCTTCCCCAGGACCCTCTCCTCTCCTTGGATGCTCCCAGCCAAACCTCCCCGGCCACCTCAGTGTCACATTGTGCTGGCAGCAGTCCCAGGGCAGTGCACGCATGTGTGAGGCTCTGATTGCAGCACGTTTCCTTGGAAAAGCCTTTGCCCCAGGAAACCCTCACTTCCCCAGCCCATCTGTGCTGGCAGCAGAGAGAAACCCCACCCTGAGCTCACCCTGAGCAGCTTCCCCAGCCAGGATAAGTGAATGCAGCAGCACAGATTTGTCCCAGCTGGATCCACGGTGAGGAAGTGATGCCATAGTGCAAAGCCAGCCTTGCTTCTCAGCCCTGCTGCATCCCAGCATGAGGAACATCCCAGTTTGTCTCCAGAGCTTTTGCTTCTGAGAAGGAGAATCACGAATCATGAATCCAGAATCATGGATTGGTGGAATGGTTTGGGTGTGGAGGGACCTTAAAGCTCATCCCATTCCCAACTCCTGCCATGGGCAGGGACACTTTCCACTACCCTAGGGTGCTCCAAGCCCCATCCAACCTGGCCTTGGACACTTCCAGGGATCCAGGGGCAGCCACAGCTTCTCTGGACAACCTCTTCCCAACATCCACAGCACATCCTCCACGCACGGGAGGTTTTGTACACTTGGTTCGGATGAGTTTGCTGGGGAAGTGAAGCTGAACTGATTGAAACAAAATGTGTTTAAAAAACCTGCCTTAAAATGATCCTACCATTGTCCCTGCAAAAGCTTCTCCATGCTGGCAGCTGTTCCTGGCCTGTCTGTGCTGTCTCCCTGTGCTGATTTTCTGGACACATCTGCAGGGATTATGGACCCCACCAGCTCTGCTCTCCAATACCATTAGCAGGGAAAGCAAAACCAGGTTGTCAACAGCCATCCAAGTGTCAACATGCAAAAAAAAAAAAAAAAAAAGAGTGAGACAGAGGGAGTCAAACTGGGAGTTGAGAGACCTCAGTGAGGACATACAGGCAGTCCAGGGCTTCACACAGCAACGTACAACAGTGCAATGCACTCTTGGGATGTCCTTCCAAGCTTTAACTGGGATGGCTCCTTGGGTTTGAATTTGGGCAGAGCCTGGCTAACTACCTCGATTTATGGTTTCATCTGCACACCAGCCCTCCACTGCCTGCCCCTGCTGGAGCTCACCTTGGATGGAACAGAAGTGGAGGTGTTCTGCTCCAAACACCAAGAACTGCAGCTCCTGGAGTTTACAGGAACAGCCCCCTGCTAAATCCAGCCTGTTTCCAAGGTACACCAGTAAAAGGGCCTCATGATGGTGCTCAGTGACCACCACAGACATCTCTATCTTTTCCTGGCACTCAGGAAAAGCTGTCTTCCTTGGGAAGACACTTCACAGCCTAAAAACATTGTGGTAACACACAGAGCACCTCTAGCCCTGCCAAGCCCTCCCTGTTCATCCCATCCCCTCCATTATTGCCATTAAGGCAATTCCTGCCTTAATGCAAACCCTCTCCCACTTCCCAAAGCACAGACCTGCTCTTCCAACCTGTGCAGAGTCCCCAGAGCCTCACGGAGGGAGGCAGTGAGAGCTGGCAATAAGGACTGGTGTCAATAAGGGGCAATGAGAGCTGACATCAGTAAGGGGACAATGAGAGCTCTCTGCTGGCCCAGCACAGCCTCTGGCCCATCTGGGAGCTGAGGGACCTTTCCCAGGGTCAGGCTCAGACCAAGGAGCATCACTGATCATTCCTGAGGGCACATCACTGATCACTGCTGAGGATCCATCACTGATCATTGCTGAGGATCCATCATTGATCATTGCCGAGGACTGCCCTGCCATCAGTGGGGCCGGAGGTTTGCAAGGGCACACACTGCCCTGCCCTGCCCTGCCCTGCTCTGCCCTGCCCTGCCCTGCCCTGCCCTGCCCTGCCCTGCCCTGCCGTGCCCAGGAATGCCTGATCCCAACACCCTTGGGAAGAGCCCTCTGGCTCCAGCCAAGGTGCTCAGCCCCTCCTCATCTCCCCCAAGGGATGTCCGGCGCTGTCCGAGTTCACCTTCCGGAGCATTCCCGGGGCTGTGAGCATCTGGATGCCAGGGAACAGCCGGACCAAGACTGTCACCTAGTGGCAACAGCGCTGGGGAAGGTGCCGTGATCCCAGAGATCCCACAGGATCCCACACAAGTGGGACCCACCGCGCCCAGCCCCAGCTGCCCTGCAGGCTCCCAGGGCCACATGCAGCCCATATGCTCAGAATTTGGGCTCGGTTTTCCTTCCAGCAGCTCTGTCTCCTCCTTTTCCCAACCGGGATGCAGCAGAAACTGCAGGAACCACGGCTCTGCATGTCCTGGACCCTCGGGCACCGTTGCCTGCCCTGGTGTCAGCACTGCCAAAAACCAGACATGCATCAGAGCACTGAGCAGTGGAAGTCAGAACTAATTTATTTAAGAAAAAAAAAAAACAACCCAAAACTTGTCAAAAGGAGGGGGAGGCATCGATTACAAGCTCTGGAAGCTCTTGTCAGGACAACTCCAAGGAATCAGCTTTATACAACAGAGAGAGAGGGGCAGCAGAGGCCATGGCCACCCCGAGCCCCAGCCCTGCCCCAGCACTCCCTGCCCAGGGACGTTCCAGCCCTCAGCCCCTTCTCCCTCCACCACCATGGAAGTGCAGCAGGGAGAGGGGGGACAGGGGTGGAACCTCCCCTGAACTCCCCAATCCCCTTCCCCTGCAACCCCAAAAGGTGAAGCCCCAGCACTCATGACCCAAATCCCTCATCCCCAGGGAGCAACGTGGAACGTGGTGGCCCTGGGGACAAGCAAGGTGAGGGGTGTCACCACCAAGGCCCCCAATCCCCTCACATACAGCCCCAGAGGGGCATCCTGGGGCAAAACCCTCCCCAAGAGCCACCTGATAGAAAGGGTTGGGGTTGGACTGAGACCCAGTGGGTGCCAGGAGCATGGGGCACCAAGGGGCTCCACGCTGAGCCCCTGTGGGCAGGCAGGGACAGAGGAGGCAGAAGGGCTGCTGCTGATCCCACCAGCCCAGGAGAGATGTGGATCCCTTGTGGGACTGTGGAGAGGCTGCTCCCCTTCTTCCTCCACACTGGGCATGAGGAAAGCTCAGCAGGACTCAGAGGGCTCCCCCCAGGGCTGGGAGCCTGCAAAGAGCCCCAGGAGCCCGACCAGAGCCACAGCCCCTCGTGCCACTCCTCTCAATATATTATTATCATTATGTGCAAGTAGTTTTGCATCAGGAAAGGCCGAGCCCTGGTGTCTCAGCCCGCAGCTCCAGCCTCAGCCCTGCCTGACCTCGGAGCCTCCCGGGATGTCGGGGGCAGCGATTTGACAGGGAAGACTCCGGCACCCCCCTCCCTCCCCAAAGCCCGGCCCTGGCCCCCGCACAGCCCTGCCGGGACAGTCCACAGGGGCCGGGTCACTCCTCGCCCTCCTCCTCGTGCTGGTGGTGGCTGGAGGCCGGCGGCTCCTCCAGCTCCGGGTGCTGGGGGTGCTGCAGGGCCGCGGGCCCCTCGGGGGCCATGCTCTCCTCGGCGTTCAGGTACACGTTGAACAGCGCTCCCTCGGGGCTCGGCTCCTTCCCACACGCCTGGCAGCTGCAGTGCAGGATCTTCTCCACCAGCTTGTCCACCCTGGGGATCTCCTCGTTGCCCGGGCAGTCCAGTGTCACCTGGGCAGCAGGACAAGGACACAGTGATGTGGACACACACGTTCAGAGAGCAGTGGGAATTACAGCTTGGAAATTCTTGTCAGGCCTGGATTTCTCCTGACTCTCAGCTCCATTCCCAGGCTGACAAGCTGACTGCAGCTTCAGTTAGGGAGGAGTCTCCCAGGGTGAGAACATGGTGACAAACAGGGTGGAATTCATCACCAACATTAACCCCTGGTGTCTTTCCCGTGGGACACATCCTGAGGTGCTGTCCCAAGGATGTTTTTCCCAATTGTCCAATGAGCTCCTGTCCTGTCCTGGCTGCATTAACACACTTTAAATCCGGGCTGTCTGTACAATAAATTGGCCTTTTTTCCCTTTTTTCCCGTGTGTGGTGCTGTCCTTTCTCTCTCTTTGCAGCGCAGTGACCACACAGTGAGCTCAGGCTCCCGTGGTGGGAGGTCTGGCCTGCCCCAGACCCTGCAGATTTGGGGTGGTTTAGGCCAGGTGTGATGGGTTTCCATCCATAGAAACAAACCCCTGGTCAGTCTGCAAGGTGGGAGTTCTCTGGGAACTTTCAGACACTCAGGGAAAATCACAGAATCATCAAGGCTGGAAGAGACCTTCAAGCTCATCAAGTCAAACCATCAACCCAGCACCTCCAGAGTCACCTCTAAGCCATGGAATCACTGAATCATTAAGATTGGAACAGACCTCCAAACCCATCAAATCCAACCTATGACCCATCCCCACCTGTCACCTCACCCAGAGCACTGAGTGCCGTGTCCAGTCATTCCTTGGACACCTCCAAGGGACAGGGACTCCACCACCTCCTTGGGGAGCTTTTCCCAAAGCCTGACCACCCTTTCAGTGATTTTTTTTTCTTATATCTAATCTAAACCTCCCTTGTTGCAACCTGAGGCCATTTCCTCTGCTCCTTTCACCTGAGACATGGCAGAAGAGACTGAACCCACTTCACTCCCACCTCCTTTCAGCACCAAGCCCAGCAGGACACAGCTCCCAGGCACTGCTGGCACTGGAATATCAGTGAGACAGCAAAGGCCACCCACAAGAGGTGATGCTGAGCATTCCAGGTAGTTTGGACTAAACCCTCTCATCAAATGTGAGCTGAAAGTGAGGCAGAGAGCAGAGTCAGTTCCTTGGGCTTCTCTTGGTTTGTGGCTCTGCCAGGATCAGAGGTGACATGGAACTGTGAGGTCTGAGGATGACTGGCTGTGGGAGGAACTTCTGCACATCAAACACAGCCAAATGTCCCAAGGGGGAGCAGGTGACAAAGGGAGAAAGGGTGAGAGCAGGCATGTGGATAAGCACAGGGATAAATACTGCAGGGAATGACAGGGGATGGTTCTGCACATGGAGAGATAGCAGATCATTCAGCAGAGCTTCCAGCAGCTCCTTCCACCCAGGCTTCTCAAGACACAGTACAGCCACCTGAGACACACCCTGGAAGGAAACTCTGAGTGGGAAAAGCCCAGAGAAGGAGAAGGACTGGCCCTGAAGTGGTGTCAGAGCAGAGCTGAGGCCCCATGGAGCAGAGCAGGATACTCACAATTTCCCACATGGACTGGGCTGGCATGCAGGAGTCGCAGTGAACCAGGGACTCTGTGGACTGGGGGAAGGTGTTGGGGACGCTGTAGCTGAAGCACTGTCCCAGACAGGCCCTGCAAAGACAGCAGGAGGGGTGGGGGCTCAGGGGAGGGGCTGCTCTTCCCAGCAAAGGCAGAGATTTTACCTTCCCCTGGGACAGAGGCAGTGACAGCCCCCAGAGCCCCTCCAGTGCCACCAGCTGCCTCTACCCTGGGCTGAGGGTGGGTCTGTACCTGTTCTGGATGGATTTGGACTCGCAGCCGCTGTGCCCCACGATCTGGGTGATGTTCTTGGCCTCGCACCAGGCGCTCTTGTCCGGGAAGAGGGCGAGCTTGTTGATGGGCGGAGGAGCAGCCAGGAGCAGCGCTGGGAACAAGGCCCCCACCACAAACCATAACATCATGGCCAGCTCTGCCAAAATCCTACACCTGCACACGGAGACAAAACCATCAGCAGCAAAGAAAACTGCCAAAGCAGCCCATTTCTCCTACCCTGTGGTCGTTCCAAGCACAGGTCCATCCCCAAATCCCCCTCCAGAGCCACTGCCAAGGCAGGGCAGCTCCCAGAGCACTGCCCATGGAATGGGATGTGCTACTCTGCCTCTTTCCTCTTCCAAAGACACTCTGGGCCAGTCAGATACCCGTGTTACCTCTCCTGAGCTCTGTGCCTGGGATAACAGCAGGCTTTTCCTCATTTCCCACCACCCAAAGCTGGGCTGGGAGAAGTTTGCAAACCAAAAGTCTCACTGCCACGAGTCGAGCCAGGCTAGAGAAGTCCCACACCAGAGAAATGTTTTTATTTGAGGAAGGAACAAGCTTTCCCACTTCCTTTTCTCCCACCTTGAAAGCCAAAGCTGGCCTTGCTGGGGACCCCTCTCCTCCAGGGAGTGCGCAGCAGGTGTCGCTGCAAGGCAGCAGCACGCAGGGACACGTGGAAACCTCAGCCCAGAGGCTGGAATCCCGCAGGAAAGAACAATACAACGTTTATTTGTACAGAGCCACTCGAATTCTGCAAAGGGTTATGCCGAGGATGGGAGCTGGGGCTGCAGACAAGGGGGGTTTGTCACAAGGACAAACTAAAGTGCTTGGCTTGGAGGTCACTCCTCACCCCCAGAGAAATCCCCACGAGGTTTCCTTGCTCTGCTTTCCAGCCAAGGTGCCTGAATTAACACTCCCAAGTCGCAGGGGAAAGGCAGATGGAAAAGCAGCACAGAAACAGGGAAATTTTTTCCTGTGTGGGGTTTGGATGGAGTCATGGCAAAAGGCATTTATACTTCCAAGGATATTTGTTAGAACCATGTTATTTGTTACTCCCTTCTATTTATTTATCCAGACGATGATCCACAGCCCACACTGGAAAGACTCCTGTTGATTCTCATGGTTCCTGGGCCCAGCCCTCTAACACTTGCTGGGAAGGAGAAGAAAAACGTCCTGATCCTCCAGAGTCCTCATGCACACCCCCTGGGCTGCAGGACCATCAGAATTATCTGAATGATTGAGATGCCCTCCTAAGCACTCAGGGATTTTAAGATCGTTATGGGATTTTGCCCTGTTATCCCTCCACTGAGCTCAGCCTCCTGCATCTGAATCAAGAGACAGATGAGAAAGATTCTTCCCTCTCTTCCATCCTACAGCACACAGAAAAGAGCATCCTCATTCACGGGATCTCTGGGGGAATCTTGTGGTGTCTCTCCTAAATTTCCTCGTTTTCTGGTGATAGAAGAACCACAGTAAGAGAATGCAGCAACACCTGCAAAGCCCTGGCTTTGTAATCCTCCCAGCACTTGTGGGGTGTGAATCCATGGGTCCCTCGTGGGAATACCTGCACCAAGGAGACTTTGCAGGTGTTGGCTGCAGATAAGCAGAGGGTTTTAACTCCTGAGCTTGCACTGCCACTAATGAGACTCGTGGGTTTAAATACATCTGTCCTGAAGAGGACTCTCGTGCCTGAGGGGTTTTTTTTTCCATTTCAGTGGGGAATTCTGCAATTTCTGAAGGAAGAACGTGGCTAAGTTGCACACACAGACTCACACGCACTTGGCTTGCTTTCCCAAACAAGCATCACTCATTCCTCAAATGCCAGCAGCTCTGTGCTGAGGAATCCTGCTCCCAAAGGCAAGTCCGAGATCAGAGCTGGGATGTGACCCAAAGAGCAATCACAACCCCCCGGGGATCAGCCCAAATTCCTCTGGAGTCAGCACACAAGTTCACTTCCACATGCCTTATTACGGAGCAATTTCCTTCTTTCCTAAAAAAGGTGAGGTTTTTCCAGGTTTCTGTGCATCTCTACCCAGCTGCAAAGAGGCAAATATTCCTGTCTGTGCTGACAAGTCCTGTTTCCTGGCATCTGTGCTCCTGGAGGGAGGTGTTCCACGGAGGTGTCCCTGCAGACCCAGTGCCAGAGGCACGAGGGATCCTGTCCCAGCATCTGGGCTCCCGTGAGGAAGATGAGTGAAGCTGTGCTCTGCTAAAGCACTGGCCTGGATTCAGAAAAGCACTTAAACATGTGCTCAAGCCTTGTCCTGTGCTGAGCAGGGCTGTGTTTGTAACCAGGGCCCCAAGGGCTGCCAGTCCCCTTTGCGAGGAGTGGTGGAAGAGTGGGGGATTGGGGGATTCTCCAGCAGGGGAATTGGGCACCCCCAGCAGGGGAATTGGGGACCCCCAGCAGGAGAATTGGGGACCCCCAGCAGGGGAATTGGGCACCCCCAGCAGAGGAACCGAGCACCCCTCTGGAGCTGGAGAAATTCCAAACATCCCCCATTCCTCAGCACTGCTATCCCGCCCTGTCCTGCCCCTTGAGCACACCACATCCACAGCACACGGTGTTTTCCTTCTCCCAGGAATGTCCTGGAACCCGCAGGGCTACTTTTCGAGTAAGTTACGAGGTTTATGCCAGTGCCTAAGAAAACATGGGATGCAGCTGAGTTTGGGAGGGAGCCGGGGCTGGGAGCAGCGTGTCCACAGCTCAAAGCAGCCATGCGAACAGAGCTGCCACCAGCACCATTCATCTGACAGCAGCCACAGGGATGCAGACAAAAGCACCGTGTTCCTTCTCCCCCCCGGCTGGGAAGGGAAGGGAAAAAGGAAGACGAGGCACCCGAGCAGGTTTGCAAACTCGCGATTAAATGAAGGCATTGAGCACATTCCTCCGTGACAAGCTAAATTACACGTTGCAGCCCAGAGGAACAAGTGTGACCCGGCGGGAGCAGCCACTTCCCGGCACACAGGGGCTTCTTTCTCTTCCCCCCACCGAGGCACATTTTTTTCCTCTCTAGTCAAAGCTCTTCAAGCAGAAAGTTCAGCTCAGTTCCGGCAGAGCCACCGGCCCGTGAGAGTCTCCCCCTGCTCCTCTGCAGGGAGCCCACGGCAGCTCCCTCGCCATCCCTGCAGCAGCGCTGGGGACAAAAATGACTCAGCCAGAACCTGGCACATCCCAGCTCTGACACAAACAACTTCTCAGCCTCGTGGTGAGCTGCTCCCGAGCCCTTTTCCAGCCCTGAAGGGCGGCTGGGTCTCGGGGTACCACCCCAGCACCCCTGGGAGTTCTGCTGACAGCTCAGATTCCCGGTGTGGAGATCATCTAGTGCCACCTCAGATGTTTTGTGTCACCTCCTTCCGAACCCCATCCCAGCACTCTCCGCAGTCCCTCCAGCAGGGAACAGCAGCGCCTGGAGGCAGCTGGGGAAATCTCCATCGTTACATCGGCCGCAGGACAATCACTGGAATTACCTCGGAGGCCACGTTCCCACCATCCAGCCCACAGCTGTTCCCAGACATTTGGAAACCAAACACTTCTGGAGGAAAATAAAACAGATCTAATCAGTTTTACCCTCTTTTTCCAGTGGGAAGTTTACACCATAACACAAGACAAGCTTGCAGGTGGACAAGGGGAACGTTTCACGAGTTGTTTAATGTGTTTAGAGGTATTTTTCTTATCCAGGATCTTGCAATTCTGCCAAATACAGAGAACCACAAACACAGGTAGATTGTGCTCAGGGCCACATGCGAGGCACTGCAGCCTCTGAGAGACAAGAGCCCCCCAAGCTTTACAAACATCACCTGGCCAAGGCTCCCAGCCTGTGAGCACAGCACAGACACAGCGCCCACCCCATGTGTGACTCGGGGATCCCTTTTGTGACAGAGATCTCAGCAGAGATGGGCAAGGTGAAGGTTTTGGCTCTTGGTCTGGCTCAGAGCTGGGATCCCTTCCTGTCCTGCCCCCCTGGACACAAGGCTGTCCTTCCTGGTGGAGCCAGCTCCCCGCCCAGCCGGGCTCTGAGCAGGCTGGTGGCAGACAGGAGTCACAGCACTTTGTGTGCCACTGGTTACTTGTGACAAGAGCTGCCACACGGAGCACAGGAGGGCCCAAAGATGCTCCGTGCCTCAGTTTCCCTGGCTGCAAGAGCAGGGCCAGGGGAGCTCTGAGTGAGCTGATGGGTGCAGGGAGCGTGGAAAGCACAGGGAGGTGTTTGCAGCACCAGCTCCCTTGGACAGGAGCAGCCGCCCAGGCAGGAGGGGGGGCCTGGCTGCCAGCAGCCCCTGCCCCACATTCCTGCTGGAAGGTGCTGGGGGAAGGCACAGGGCAGGTGGGAGCCAGGTAGGGACAGGTGGGGGAGTCACCCCAGGACACGGCAGGGAGCTCTGCAAGGTGTGGGATCACTCCTGGCTGTGCAGGTGGCCAGGAAATGCTGAAAGGAAAATTCTTATTTAGGCACCTAAAAGGATGCAAAGCCGCAGTAAAGTGTCTGCGAGGTGGCAACTGGGAAGAAACATCCCAGCAAGATCCAGGGCACGGCTCTCCTCAGGCACGGGATTAGGTCTGTAACTTCTCAACACCACTGGGGATTGGCTCGTAGGAAACTCAACTCAAATAATATTTACTTACATGGAACAAAACAATTTATAAGCCAGCATTATTAAGAGGAAAAGCTTAAATCTCAACTGCAAAAAATTGAAAAGTCACAGTGTATTGAAAAACATCTATCAAAACAACAGATGTTATTTAAACCTGTTCTTATTAGATACTTCCTCCTTTTTGAAATTTGCATTTAGCTAAAACTTTACAATTTTGGGGACCCTTACTGTAGTGACTGTAACAGCCTAAGGAATCTGCCTGAGGTACGATATGGGGAGGGGAGAGGGAAGAGAACTCTGCACTGAGAATGTCTGGAGGTAATTCTTCAGGACAGCAGGACACAAAAGTGCTTAAATGAGCACAGAAATCTCTCCCGAGCTCAGAGCTCCAGTCTTGCTTCGCTGAGCTGCAAAATCTGGGGAGAAATTACAAAAAAATAAACAAGGAACTACCACAGGAAGACATTTGATATTTAACAACCACAAGAATCCATCCTAAGAACTTTTTGATAGTGGAGCAAAAGCTGTGTCTTTTCTCACTGTGGACCTGGCTGTGTCTGCTCCTTTCAGAAGCAGATGTTGGAGCTTCCCTTTCTGTAACATATTAATTTCCACTCAGGCATGGTTGGGCAAGTCACAGAAATAAAGCAGAAATAAAGAAAAGCAGTACAGCATTTTTAAAGCCCTCTGCCCCCCCCACATTGGCCAGAATGCCAAAAGATGATGGTACATTGAGAGTTTTAATCTGGCTTCTCGACCATGCACTGAGCACTTGGGAGATTCATTTTTTGCAGTTGGATAAAAAAAAAAAAATCCAAGCTGCTTTACCTACAAAAGTCATTGCAAAGCCACCTCTGGATTTAGGCTTAGGATGGGGTCCTGAAGGAGCTCTGCTGGAAAAGGAACACACTAATGGCCTGCAGAAGAGGCAAGAGTCACATAAACAGTTTCTGGTAATTTATTTCAATTGCTCAATTTCTTCAGCATTAAGAACAATCGCAGCCAGGAAAATGCATCAACCTAAGGCTCAGGAACATATCCTGGACCAACACCTCCACTCCTCCTTTTTTTGAAGAACGTGGGGCTCTGCAGCCCCCAAAAGCAGCAGGACAAGTGGGATGGGAGCAAGGATCAGCTTTGTGGGGAGCTGGAAAAGAAGCCTAGGACCAGATCAGCTTTGTGGGGAGCTGAATACAATCTGGGACCAGATCA